TCATCAAAGACATAAGATTCACGTCTTGATTCCCTCGCAGGAATGAAATTTACAGATTGATGGAAGTGTCCATATTGGCCTTGGACGAATCGGATAGGTTACGCGAACAACAAGACATTGAAGCCGAGCAACGTCGAATAGAATGGGAACGAATGCTTGAGGAAGAAAGAAAGCAACGTGAAGAAGCTATATTAATGGAATTAAATGCCGAAAAAGAGACTTCGTCTACCAATGGTACTTTACAAAATAATAATGTTAAAGCCAGACTAACACTTAGTCTTGCTTCAAAGCGTCGCGCAGCATTAATGGCTCCTGCCGAAGAAGAGGAATTTGATGACGAAGAAGGTATTGAATCAAAACGAAAGCGTCGAATTTTAGTTCCGTTAGAATATAGTGATAATGAGGATGATGAAAGAAAAACAGAAGAAAGGAAAAAGAAAATTAAAGATTTAGTAGAAAATATACCAACAGATAAGGAAGGACTTTGGAATTGGAATGTCAAATGGGAAGAATTAGATGAGGTAAGTTATTATACATGTAGATACATAATTTTTTACTCTTGTTTATCTCACCAATTTTGCTTTGCCATGACCGTTTCGATATTATGTTTTGATTTAATCTATTATTCCGCGGATACTCGTGATTTGTGTCAAATAAAATATTTTTTGGTGTCAAATAATCATTATTTTTTACAACAGAATATTCTTAACAAAAAGTTACAGCCATTTGTAAGTAAAAAAATTGTTGGATATCTTGGCGTACAAGAAGATGAATTAGTTTTCTTTGTAATGGATCATTTGCGTAATAAAAAGTCGGCTGCAAATCTAACCAAGGAGATGGAGATGGTATGACATTTATAATTCATATTATCAAATTTTCAAAATGTGAAATGATTAAAGAACCAATTAAAAAAAAATTTTTTCCATTATAGACTTTAGATGAAGAATCCGAACTATTCGTAATGAAATTATGGCGTATGTTAATTTTTGAAACAGAAAGTAAAGCGAGAAAAATATAAATAGAAATCAAGTTTGAAAGATTTTTTTTTTTTTTGTGTAAAATGTATTCGAATATAAGTAACATTTCTGATGCAAAATAGCAATATATAACAATAATCAATAATATTTTATTTCATCTCTTCTTTTTTCAAAAAAAAAAAAAAAAAAAGGTTGTTTTATAATTCATCAAGGTTTAATTAAAATAAATGGTGGTTCTTTTTATTTAAAAAAAAATTAGATATAGAGATTCAGAGTATTATTAGTCATGCGATTGTTATGATAAAGAAAAAAATTGATAGGATATTTAGCTTTTCGCACTTTACAAATAGACTATAAAAAATCAGATCAGATTATTTCTTGACGTAATTTGGCGACGGAAATTTTCCATTTTTTTTTTTTTCTTTCGAATTGAAATTAGTATATCACAATCCACTATCAAGCATATATAATTATATATCTACTATGCAACTACTAAAAAAATCTGAAAGCCTAAAAAACTTCTAATGACTTTGCGTGAAAAATCAAACACGTGGTGAACGTCAACCGGATTAGAACTTGACATTTATTACCACCATATGGATTTGCAATAGAGAGATCTTTTACCAATAACTTAATTAGACAGCAAGCACGGGATCAACTCAAGAAAGAGTGAACCAGTAATAGGCGAGAGCATACGAATTATGCAAATAATAAAAAAAAAAACAAGCAAGTAATATGAAGGAAAATACTAGAGAAACAAGAAAACAAAGCAAAGATTTTTATCATTAAATGGGTAAGAGATAGTATCCAAAGAAGAAAGCATATAATTGTTTTTTTATTAAAAACTGCTTAGATAATTATAAAAAATCTCTTTATTAAATATTTGTAAAAAATATAAACTAATAAAATATCAATCATTTTCAAATCTAATTTCAGATAAAATAATAGATCAGAAAAATTTAACTAAATAAAGTTTATATATAATAATAATATAATGCAAAAATCTTAAAAAAAATTTACAGAATCTGATATTAATAGCAAAACTTCTATCAATAAATTTTATACTATTCATTTTTTAATAATCTGATTTGATATATTTTCAGGTCAGGGATTAGGTACCTATTCTAATCTAATCTAATCCAATTTATTTGATTCAGATTAATTTAAATTACTTCAGATAATCTAATATTTTTTTAAATCAAGTCAAATTAGATAACCTGTTCTTGATTTGATTTAATCTATTTGACTTAAAAATATTTATAATATATTTTCAAAATGATATCATTCAAAAAAAAATAATTATAAAATATTTTTATTAAATAATTGTCTGAAGCAAAGTGAAGGATAATATACTTTTAGGAATTAGAGTGAAAAATTGCACTGTCACGTGAAAATTCCGTCTGTCCTGCTGCGTTATGTAAGATCAGATCAAAACAATCAACAAAAAACCAAGTAGGGTAACTTGTGTAGCTTGTGACGCTTGAACAAGATTAATACAAGAGAAAAAAAAATACATTTATACATTTTTTTTTACTCGTTATATATTGTTAAATTTTATTTTTTTTACCGTTATCTGTTAAATTTTTTATTGAATATTTTTAGATATTATTACTAGGCAATCGAAACCGTTGAGAGTCCAGAGCAAAAATTCACTTTACAAAATCTTTATTTTTGTTTTTTATTATTATTATTTTTGTTATATTTAATATATTGTACCTTTGTGATATTTTTAATGTAATATTTTATTGCTTAAAAAAATAAAAACGCAGTTTTGGAAATTTGGGAAACTTTGGAAATTATGAAGTTTTATTGTTGAAACAAGTTATTATGTGCTTCTTACAACTTATGTCAATTTCTAGGTATCATTGAAACTAGTCACTCTTCTTCAATTTTCCTTTCTTGCAACTTTCTACAGTCTTTAATGCGTTGGAGTTTTTTGAAATTAAAAGGTTGAAAGAGAATATCTCCTATAGTGCAGACCTGAGACATCACCACAAATGAAAGACCAGCCATAAACTCCTTATCATCAAGATTTATTACAGTTTTTTATAGTGTAAGTCCTTGGCTTTTATGTACAATAATGGCCTATGCAAGACAAATAGGAACTTGTAAGTATAAACATAATGTTCCAGATTTACTCTCCCAGGTACGTCAAATGGATGCAATTAGGATAACTTTTGTACCTTCTAAAGTAGTAATAGTGGGCCTTTATAATTTTCAAATGAAATAAGAACTGCTATAGGAAGAAAAGGTGGTCTTTGATCCTCTCTGAACAAAATATCCTAAACGATTCCTAGTACATCATTGATTAAGCTAGCTTCTGTTCACAAATTTGATATTAACATAATACGTACGCCTTTTGCTAGCAGTAATTGTGCTTCAAGACCATGTGCAATGTCAGAATCTGCTTTTTTAGCTTTATTATCGTCTGTGTGTATGGCAAGAATCCTGACAACAGGAACGTTTAAAGATCTAAGTCAGTCTATATTTATTGCATCAACGTCGATCCATTTCGTTAGGATAAATGTGACATCAGAAAATTTACTACATTCTGTTTTATTTAATCTCCCTTCAAATTGTGTGGTAAGAGTCCTCTAGTCAGCAAAAGTAGACTCTACATCGCGCAATCTTAAAAGGAGAGATCTAAAGTTCTGTTACTCTTAAGAATTTCTGGATTAGCGTTGAACAACATCAAGCTTATACACCCTCTTAAATAGAATGTATGCAGCAAGACTATTGTTAGAAAGTGGATCTTGTGAAACTTTTATGTACATCAGGAGATCAAGTACAGGCGAGAGCTGGCCAAAATCTCCAAACATAATAACTGACTTTCCACCAAAGGGTTCATTATTATTTTTGAGAAAAGCCTGCCAAAGCCACATATCAATAAGACCAAACATTCAGTGGCTAACCATACCTTTCTCATTTATTATAATATATTTTACACTTTTCAATTTATTCTGTAGCAACTTCAGCCGTTCATCTTTTATGTCAAGATTACTATCACTAATTATTAGAATGAAAAGCATCGAATGAATTATTATTCTACTTATATTGAAGGCTACAATGCCTGTTGACGCAACCACTAGTTAATATTATACTTTTATTAAAGTTTTTACAATTTTATTAAATGTCACAATTTTTATATTTTATTA